AGGGCCTGACAGCGGCGAGGATCTCCCGGTAGACAGCACGAGGCTGGTTACCCTTGGAGGGGCCCTGGAAGCCCAGTGCATTGTGAAAGTGCTGGATGAGAATCTAGAGCTTCCAAATAGCACAAGAGTAGCTATACAACACACCTGACTTTCAAGACAGGCCTTTTAGGGCTGGTATGTGCATTTGGGGCACAATACAGGCTTGTGGCACTTCAGACAATAAAGATAGAGCATTTAAGTCTCTGGCTTCTCCTTGGGAGTGATAATTGTGAAGGAAAATGGCTTAGATGTTACGAGCAAGACCACGTTGGGAGGTCTGTTCTCAAAATTAGTCAAACAACCCATAAAGGAGATGGCTGTCAAAGCCCCTCCTGTCCGAGCAACATGACTCTGAAGGAAAGGAGCCCCCCACTGGCGCAGTGCAGGAGCACACCTTTCCAAACAGGAGGGGAATTCGGGGGTGTCTAGGGGAATGGCTGTGCTGCCCCCAAAGAGGCAAAACCTTTCCAGGAAAGGACTTGGAGTAACCATCCCTGGCTCCTCCTCCATCTTGAAGACAGACCTGGTAACTAAGGAGGGAAACAGGCAACAACAAATCCTATAGAGGGAAGAGTCACAAATCAAGGCAAGAACCACCGTACACACACACACACACACACACACACACACACACACAAGCTCAAGCACACACCTGCATACACGCTCATACCTGCACACGTGCTCACACACACCCCTGCACACGCGGGCAGTGCCGCAGAGAGTGCCCGTCAGACACACAGTCAGAAGATGGTAGCAGAGGCCAAGCCGGTGAGGGGAGCCCTCTGCTGTCCCTCTATGTCAAAGAGCAACTGCTATTCAGCAGCCTTCAGCCAGTTACCCCAAAAAAGTACCCAGGTGAGCACTAAGACCACGGGCAACTGAGGACTTATTGACCTGTCTTTCCTCTGCTTTAAAAAAAAGCATTTTGTCTTGTGCGCTGACTGATGTTTTTGGGGAGTGAGGCTGTACATGATAAAGTCAAGCTTTACCTGATACAGCTACAAATGAACGGTCTCTCAGATCAGCATTAACAAGTTTGTCTTTCCCCCGCTTGACAAGTTTGTCTTTATGAATGGACTGCTCTCTCAGATAACCACTGGCAAGTTTGCCTGTCCCTATTCCTTGCAATTTCTCTTCCTTTGTTTGACAGGTTTGTTTGACAAGGAAAAGGGAGTTAAACAGCAGCTGTTGAAACAAGCTGGCGCCTACCGTCCCCATCTCCATGCCGACCCCCGCCCCTCCCCTAGGCTGATCCTTGCCCATCTCCCCCTTTGTATAAATATCCCTGCACCCTGCCAAAGAGCAGGCCGGTGGTCTTCCAGCCATGAGCCTGCTGCCCTCCTTATTTGTCGACAAATTAAACCACTTTCCTTTTCCTCAAACTCCATTTCCTTTTTTTATTTAATAGTTTATTTTTACATCATCTTGTGCCTTTTTCCATCTTAGTTGTAACCCCCGTGGGTTTCCCATCACCAAATCACTCGTATGCCATCACCATAGTCCCATGCACTCCCCGCCCCCATTTTTGATCAAACTCAATTTCCTTTTATTGGCTGAGAGAAACTGACGCTGGCATTTGGTAACACATCTCGTGCCAGGAATGCATCCTTACACTCCCTGGTACCTGGGATGCTCCACGTCACATGCTATTTTAGAAGCCTGGTTGTGTGCACAGGATGAAGCAGATGTTAACGAAAGACTCGAGCTGCAATCACGTTAACTCTATGCACGTCACTCACTGAGTCATGGGTGGGAGTAAGGCCAAGAAACCCAGACCTTTACCATGTCCAAGATCAAGGCGAGCCAACAGGAAGACTTTACTTTTCCAGAGTCAACCACAAATTATGGACCCAGAAGTACTGTGAGCCTCGAGGTTCTCACTAGCACAAGAAAACAACTGGTACTTCACGAAAGGCAGGAACACAAGCTTACCCCTTTCTCTTTTAGGAGAGTCTTGGTCCCACCATATCATGAGGGGAAAAAAAGGTTAGTCCTCAGAGATTAAAAAAGAGCTCCAGTGTTGATGAGAAAGTATCTGACTTTATTAGCAAAAGCCAACAGAAAAAAAAATGCACTTACAGTACAGCAATGACATATACTCATCATGGAAGTCAGTTTGCATGCTTCACGTGGAAGGGAGGACAGTGGAAAGATCATGAAATTTGGAACTCAGAACATCTGAGGTCACCTCGGGCTCTGCTACCTACAGTACGACTATGGGCAATTTACTTGATTTTTGTGAGCCTCTAGAATGAGGGTAACAAATTGACCTCCAACCACAGAAGGTTGGTATAGGATGAAATAAGACAACAGATTCAAAAAGTACTTTGTAAACTGTAAAACACCCATAGCAATATTAGCTGTAGGTATTACCAAGGCCCCCCATGACATTCCTTTAAAGAACAGAAAGAAAACAAAAGAACTCCAACAAGGGGTGGTGCGGATCACAAGCTACCAAAACGAACAGTGCCCTCACTTGGGGATGCAAAAAGCCCCCTTCAAGTAAGCACCATGCGTTGTGGGACATCTGCAACAGGGCCAGGACACAGCTCAGTCCCCAATGAGACCCCACAGCACGGTCAGCAGCCAGTCCGAGTCCCCTCCAACAGGCAATGGTGAAGAGAAAAGTGGCTAGAAAACCAAGGAGCATGGCCTTGAGGGGGTGACTGCCCACAGTGCTGAGCTGGTGCGGGAAGACTGTCATGGCACAAAGACCTGGGAGCCACGTCAGAGCAGTGGGCTGGCACAGAGGTCTCGGGCTCATCCGCGCCTCTCTCGCTGCCAGGAACCACATGGAGGGCAAACAGCAGTGGTGAAGACATGCCAAAGGGATGGCCCAGGCAGGGCGGCCGTTCTCGTCCCCACATTACCTGAACCCGTGGGCAGGAACCACGCCTCATTTGTCCTCCCGGAGTCATCTCTGTCTATGAACTGACCTTGCCCAGCTCTGTCCTCCCAGGGTGGACATGGATAGCTTTGCCTTCATTTGTAAGGCTTCCTTAGAGCTCACTCCAACTTGAGCATCCTTAGGAGTCAAGGATAAAGTAGCTAGAGAAAACCAGAAACTGGTACTTGGGTACCAGGCATTCCAAGAAGGAGAAAACAAGAGCGCAGAGCTGGGCATGGGGAGAACCAGCCACAGCCCACGTGAAACAACCCACAGCCACGGCCAAAGCCCCCACACACACACACACACAAAGCCCCACAACCAATAGCAATAGTAGCTGTAGGTAGTACAGCTCCAAACAGATGCTCCAAACAGAAAGAGGTACCTGTGACAAACTGTCTTTTCCTAAGCTCTAAATTCTCTTTCCTGGAGTGGAAGTATAGCTGGTACTTAGACATGCGTGTGTGGAACGGCGTCAGTTAGACATACCTCAGAATCAGTGAAAAAGTTGTAAAGGAGAACATCATCAAATTCTAAGCCTTTTGCTTCATAAACTGTTAGTACGAGTGCCAAGCCCAGCTCTTCTGGAATTTTCTCCTTTGCGATTTCATTGGCTACGAGGATAACCTAGGGCGGGGGTGGATGGGTGGGGGAAGGATGGAGAGAAAAACATCAAATTTGGCAATGAGAAATCTGGTAAAGCTCAGCCCATTGCATAAGAGGCAGGGATTGTCCTTAAGAGAAATGCCCAGCATTGGACTTGGTCAGCCAGACTAGTGACGGCCATCTACCCATCTCGGGAACGAAGGCATTCTGGGACAGATCTATTATAATTCCATCCTGTGGAATCATTCAGCCTCTCAGAACCTTTTCACTTGCACTTTGCCTTTTATTTCAAAATATACAATCCCACACACTCACCTGATGGGCTCCAAATTCAATGGGCTGGGTTTTCCTTTTATTCCCTCGTAGCAAAATTGCCAAGTCGCTTACACTGCAAGACTCCAGGACAGTTGGTTTGGGACCATCGAAAAGGCCAGCATCCCTCGGAAGACGGTCAAAAGATTCCGGAAAATAGAACTGGAGTAAGTCCACCACTCCAGATGCCAGATTGAGAATTCCTGGGATAAAGCAAAAACATGTCTGCTACTGGAGAACATGACCACAGTTTTTTTTGGTGGGATTTTGGGTGTTTTTGTTTACTTTGTTTTCCTGAGACGCAGTCTTGAGAGTATACTGTACAACTGCAAGCTGATTTCTAGCTTCCATTAGAACAGCACGCTGGCCCTGAGCCTCATTACTCTGGGCACCCTAGATGACAACAGACCTGTGTTACTGTGCTAAGGCTTGGGGAGATCTCAGTCTCACCCAATGAAAGTCACTTCCTAAAGACAAGTTAAGGCAGAAATGTAATCTAAACAGACCTTCTAGACTGCTAATATAAAGGACTAGTGTGGATGAGAAGGAAACAAGAAGTATCCTATTTCCTCTCACCAGTGTTTAGAGGCCTGGATGCAATGTTACCATGGTAACAGCAGCTGGGGATTAGCTGGGGACAGCAATCAGGACCTCCTTTAACATGAGGCCTTTACCCACCGAGAGAGGAGTATACCAAGAAAGACTGACAGAGTTGGAGAAAACATTCGCCTACGAGCTCTCTCCCTAGGTCCCACTCCTTGCGCAAGCCCGGCAGCAACACTGACAGTGATGCTCACTGAATAGTCCCAAGCAGCACCTCTAAAAAATCAGCCCATCATTGCTCACAGCAGCCCTGTGAGACAGATCAGAAATCTAGCTTTTGTAAGTGGACTCCATGGTCCAAGAGTTTAAAAAATATTTCCAAGCAGCAAGATTTAAAGTCTAGTGGGCAAAACATTCTAGATCTCTCTGCTATTCTTAGGGGCACATGTCCATCGCCTAAAACCAGATAGCCTACGAGACTCGTGGTGGTACACCATGAAATAGGCAAAGGTGTCCCCACTGCTATGACCAAATGGAAAAGGGAATTAAAAAAAATTTATTTAATATAATAATTTATTTTTACATCATTTTGTGTCTTTTTCCATCTCAGTGATAATCCCCATCACCAAATCACCCATGACCATCACACCATAGTCCAGTGCACTTCCCACCCTCCCACCCCCCATTTTTGATCGGAAAAGGGAAATCTTACTGTCCAACAGTAACACTGTTGAAAGGAATCAGGGCAAGGAGATCATGAGTGCAAGTGGGAACTTGAATCTAAGGATATCAGCTGCGATCGTGGCACTAGCAAGGACAGAGATTTACATTAATGGGAAAATCAGAAAAGGGCAAGTGCTCGTTGCAGTGAAAAACTGGAATTTACTAGATAAATACATTTCCTATAAACACAAAATACAAATAAATGCTATCATAATATAATGATCATAATATAAATAAATGAACCTTGACAACGTTATGCTAAATGAAAGAAGACAAACACGGAAGGCGACATATTGCATGATTCCATTTACATGAAATTCCCAGAACTGGCAGATCCACAAGTGGACCAGTGGTTAGGGAGGAGGGGCAGGTGGCAGCAAGGGGATGGGGATCTGCGAAGAATCAGTGACAGCCAATGGCTATGGGGGCTTTCTGGAGGGTGATGAAAATGTCCTGGAATTAGGCAACAGTAATGGTTGCGTATCTGTGAACTCTGTAAGTTGCATGTTTTATTTTATTTTAAACGACACACTTTAGGGCCCTCCCTGGTGGCTGCAGGTGCTAAAGTCTCAGCACTATCAAGCTATCACCAGCCCCTGTGGCCTGAATTCAATCCCTCGCTAAGGATCTAACCCACAGGTGCAGCAGACCCCTCCTGCCTTGTCGATGCTCCTCTCAGCAGTGTATTTGAGTGAATCTGCCTGTTCTGTTCCCCACTCTATCTCTGGTGAATCCTCTGGCCTGCACCCAGTTGTTGCATAAAATAAAAATAAATCTTTAAAAAAATAAGTAAATATGGCCTTCCCTGGTGGCGCAGCAGGTTAAAGCACTGCACTAAGAAGCTAAAGCCACTTCAGCATGAGCTCGATTCCCGCCTGCCCCAGAGGTGACCACATGGCGCTGCAGACCTCTCCTGACCCGCCCGCTGCTCCCCTCAGCAGTGTACTTCGTCGATCTGCTTGTTCTGCTCCCCACTCTGTCTCTGGTGAAGCCTCTTGCCGCCCCTGAGCCTCTGGCCTGTACCCCAGTTCTGTATGAATAAATAAATAAATCTTAAAAAAAAAATAAGTAAATAAACACACTTAACACAGGTTAACATTATGCTATGTGACTCTCAATTTAACAACCCAAAGAAAGATGAGGGAACTACTCACTAACTAGCTTGCATTCACTATAAACATCAATTAAGTGCGTACTATAAATTCATGTGATGTTTATGTCAGAAAGGAAGATCAGAGGAAATGAAGTAAAATGAGAGGAGTGAATGGCCTTTTGCTTCCAAATTATTTGAACAAAACTTCTGAAGCAGTTCACTGTCTCTGGGAAATGTCCCCATGGGAAACACCCAGAGAGTAATTACTTGAAGGCCCATTTCCAGCCAACCATAGCTTGAATTTTCTAACCTAAATAGTAGCAGACATCACAAGATCTCTTATTGATGTGTGTTTTTACCAAGAACTCTACAACACTCTACAGCCACCCTCACTTCAACTGCAGACACCTCGCAAACTCTAGGCACTGGCTTCAAGCCAGCCCCAAAGCAGTACCCAGGTACCCCCCCGGGGGGGGGGGTGAGCCAGACCCCGACTTACCCGAGTGCGACCGGTAATTCTGGTACAGCTGGTGGATCTTCTTGGGCTTACGGACTGCGCACTGCTTGTCGGAGGTGCTCTTGCTGGCGTAGTGGAACAGGGAGCGCAGGTCGCTGAAGCGGAAGGCCACACCCTTCATGATGCTCTGCGCCGTGTCCCCAGTGAGGAACATGGCATTGGGGTCATTGATGCACTTCATCAGCAGTGCCAGCTCGGCTTGAGTGAAGTCTTGGATCTCATCACCATAGAGCTCATGGATGGACCACGGGAGTGCCTGGACCTTCGAGAGCCTCCGGGAGAGGTTGTAGAGAACATCCTCTTCGTCAAAGTAACCTTTCTGAGACCTGATCTGCTGGTATAGGCAGAAGAGGCCATAGATCTCGCTCCGGTCTTCCTTGAAATTGGGAGACCGTTTCCTCCCCAACTTCTTGTAGGCTTCTTCTGTCAGTCTCCCTTGGGGGCAGCTGAGGGCCTCAAAAGACCCCTTTAGAAAGGATTTTATTTCTTTCCAAACCAGTGCGGGGTTGTAGGAAGTTTTCCCTTTTTTCATTTTGGGCCATATTTCACTGGCGAACACCTCAAATGTCACGTACACCCGGGGGTCACACTCACCCTGCCGCGGTTCCGTGGCTTTCTCCTCCTCAGTATAGTCCCCTTCTGCCTCCCCCTCCTCCTCCTCCTGCCAGTTGGGGATGGTCAGCTCCTCCTGCGTGGACCACCCTACGATGGTTCTTTTCAAGCTGCCATCTTCGTTCCTTAGGAAAAACGGTTTGGGCAGTGAGGCATCCAGGAGGAGCAGCAGCTGCTTGGAGGTGACAAACAGGGGAAAGTTCTCGTCCTTCAGGTCCTGGAGTCTGTGAACGTTGGGCTCCAAGGGCTTGTAGTGACTGGTAGCCTGGGTAGACTTGGAAAGCTCAATGAAATTCCTCTGCACCTCCTGGCACAATACGTGGTTCTTGGTCACAAAGATCTGATGTAAATGCTCCAGCTGGTGGGAGCTGTCCGGGGCGCGGTCTTCCGGGGCGCAGTCTTCTGGGGCGCAGCCTTCCGGGGCACAGACTTCAGCCACTTGGCCATGTCCCTCTACCTCCCCGCTGGCTCCCCCTGTACAGGAATCGCTCTCCTGCTCCTCATCTATGCTGTCGGCTAGTTCCACTTCGATGGAACCTTCTTCTTCCTCATCCTCAGCCTCCTCCTCTTCCTCTCCACCCAGATCCTCCTTTATGGGTTCCATTTCCAACCTCCTCTTCACCCAGAGCTGTTTGGCCAGCAGCGGGCTTCCCGCTTGCTCAGCCTTCTCCCAGTAATTGTGGAATTTCTTCCACAGCCTGTACAAGCAGCAAGTTGTCTTGCCAGTACCACTGCGGCCAATGAGGATGATGGGCTCCAGCGGCTTGGGGTTGAGGTTGATCACCGAGTATTCCAGCTCCCCCACCCGGAAGGGGTACTCCACTGTGGTCGTCATGTCGTTGAGGATGTTGAAGGCCATGTTGGTGCTGAAGCTGTGGAACTTCATGATGTTGTACTCTGTCTTCACGGCGCTGGCGGGGGGGAAGTACTCCGGCTCCACCTGCTTGCTGCTCCTTTCTGCCTCGGTGTCCTCCACGTAGCAGCGCGGTATCCGCCTTTGAGTCTTCGTGCTGACCAGGCCTTTGTTGATGCCCTTCAGTTTCTTGCGCAGGATGCAGGCCAAGCCTCGGTTGTAGGCACTGCAGATGGCGTTGATAGAGTCTGACAGTTTGTTGTGATCCAAGACAATGTCCCAGATCCGGATGATTTCGGTGTAGACCCGTCCTGATTTCTCTGTGGAATATGAGTTCCTCTCCAGGGTGATGATCTTTTCTGGGTTCTCGCTGCATCTAGGGGAGAAGTCGATGGCCAGTTCCCACAGCATCCTGGCTCCTTTGTCCAGTTTGGCCTCAAAGAGATGGATGTTTCCTTTTAGATGCTTGAGGCGCTTCTGCAGGCTCTGGGTCCACTCGCCATTCCCCAGCTGCTGGATGGCCAGGATAATCTTCTTCTTCATCACCTTAGACATTCCCTTGCTGGACATTTTCTTGAGCATTTCTGAAGTGCACTCGATCTCCCAGGTCATGTTATCGAAGTCCTGGAAGCAGGCCTCGATCTCCTGCATGCTCTGGTCCTCCCGGTCCTGGCAGCTCTCCCTCCCTGTGAGACACTCAGGAACCGGATGTGTGGCCCTGAAGCCTGCCTGAGCACATCCCTCCCCTGCGTCAAGGATGGCAGGGATACTCCCACTGCAGTCAGAGCCCACTGCCCCCAGGGTTCGCTGGAACTGGTCTCTGTCTACTTCCATGCCAGCCCCTGCCTCCATTGGCTGGGAGCCCTGAGGACAGTCCTCTGGGAGGGACCCATCCAGTTCAACCTGCTGAATCAGCACCGTGATGTCCTGTATAAGGCGGTCTCTCAGAGAGCAGGGCCCGATGTCACCAGGCTCCTGCCTGGTCACCTGGGCATCAGGGGGCGTCTCCCAGCTATCTGGGACCACAGCTCTTTTGGGCTGGGATTTGGCAGGGACGTTGCATGGTGATGACTTGAGTGAACCTTGGGACTTGAGCTGAGGTATGTGGCCAGGGGTGGAGGGCCTCGCGAGCTTCCCTGGGTGGGCAGAGGCGTCCTGCCGGTTCCTGCGCCTGTTGTCCATCACCGCTTTGTTCCAAGCCAGGAGCAGAGCGTCATTCTTCTTAACCCGGTGCCGCACATCTTTGCCTTCTTTGTTCTTCAGGTTTAGGTTGATGTCAAACCTCGCCAGCAGCTCCAGCAGCTTCTTCATGCGCTTCAGCTTGCCCTTCTGAAAGAGGATGTGCATTAGTGTGTTCCCATTGCTGTCCTGGGTGTTGGGGTTGAGGTAGAAAAATTCGCTGGGGTTGGACCAGTAGAGATCCAACAAGTGGCTGAGGAAGTCAAAGCCGATGTCAGCTGAAAGACAAACAAAGCCTTGTGGATAACGAGCTGCCCTCAGGCACATAGAGGACCCCTGGATTTGAAAGGCATCTCAGAACACTGAACTTTCCTAAGTATTTGTTACCCATAAAATAGCCCAGCAACTCTCAACTGGGGGGGGGGGGATTTTCTCCCCGGGGACAGGTGGCCATGTCTGGAGCATTGCTGGTGGGCACAGCAAGAGAGGAGCTACTGGGTGGGGGTCAGGGACGCTGTTAAATGTCAACGGTGCAAGGTGGAGAAATCACCTTATAATACACCCATAACTTATGTAACTTACATACTCCATAAATGTAAATTTATTTCTGCATAACGTTTTCAAGGGACCATGACAAATTATAAATGGGTTGGCAGCTGTGAACCGCCAACTTTAAAACTTAGGAATCTTTTATCATCAACCCTGACCATTGATGTAACAGTCACTTGTCCCCATCAAGCTATGGGTGACGGGCGCATCTGGCCAAGAAATGGGTGTTTTTCAGATGGCTGGTCTTCCTGACCATAAAGACCAAAATGCACAGCACCAGTCCTAATATCCAGTTTCCTTGAGTGCAAGAGTAGTTAACTAATGAAGACTTACCTTTCTTTTCTAAAAAGACGTGGAGTGCAGCATGCAAAGGAGTATCCCCTTCCCTGAGAGAAATGCCACGGGGATCTGCACCCTTAGTCAAGAGTAGAAAAGCCAACTCGAAGTCCTCACGTTGTAGGCACATGGTGATCGGCCTCTCCTGGTGGTCCCCAAGACCCTGGGGCAAGGCTGGGAGGACAGAGCAGAGGGCACTTGTAAGCTACATCCTCTGATGGGTTCAGCCAGCTCACCTGAGCCTTACTGCTCCTCATCCCAAGGACAGAATGGACACAGCCTTCCTGGGAAACAGAGGCCTCCAGAGCCCTCACAGTGCAAGCCCAGCTCTTTCATCTGCCCAGGTGGGATTTGATGAAAGCCACCTCTCCAATACCCCTCATGCCCCCTTCAGCACTGCCCTGAGGTGGGCAGCCATGAACACTTGGAATCCCAACATTGACACCCAGCCAGACACCAGGACACCAGGACTGCTCCTTCCAGCTTCTACTGGAGAAAGCCCATGCGTCCTCATTTATTCTCCATCTTCTCTGACACTCCTCAGCCCCTGCAGCCCCTTCCTCTGTGCTGGGACCATGCATCCCCTCCCACTACGGGCACCATGACCTCCCTGCTGCACAAGTCTTCAGCAGCCTGTATTAATTCCCCTCTCTGTTCATGGCCCCTCAGCCCAGAGATTTGCTCAATAAGTACTTGCTGAATCCTGGGAACAAAGAATTCCATACAAAGACCATAGTTTCTAGGCAGAAGTAGTAATGTTAGATTGTGACCAAGAGGTGCCCAAAGCCCTAAACAAATGGGGAGGGTGCATGGTGTAAAACAGTGTCCTGCCATCTCCAGACAAAGGCAAAGGCAGCAGACGCTTATAATGTGAAAGAATTCCAATGGAATTAGAGTGCACAGAGAGAGGAGAAGGAAACCTTTCCCAATAAATCACCCCAAGTCACCCATTCCCTTGTGGGCAAATGCCCAAAGTGGGTTGGCCTGAAGTGGGGCCTCCGAGGGCTGAAAGCTTGCCAGAAGGCTAAGGCGCTTTCTGCCTTAGCAGAATATAGAGAAGGGGTTCTGAAGCAGGTCCCAGAAAGCTGGAATAGAAGTAGGCACCACATCAAGATAATGGCTGTCATTGTCAGCTCCCCACATGTCTCTCATCCATGTGTCTCTCCAAGGGTCTCTGCTCCAATGTCTCTACTCCAGTGTCTCCTTCCCAGCAGCACTAGCGTGCAAGTGGGGCCCAGAACAAGAAGCCTTTTTTAGTCCTCCTGCCTTTGCATTACACAGCTCCACCTGGCCACTCAAAACCACCCCCTTGTTTCCAGGAGCTAGTCCAAGGCGGCTGTGTGTAAGTTGGGGTGGGGAACCCAGTACACCCCCAAAAGGAGGTCTGTTTGTAACAATAACACACCACAAAAGGAATAGGTTTGCACAAATAAACTGTAAGAGGTTTCCATCTGATGGAGGAAAGAATGCAAGGGAGGCATCACAAGACTGACAAGATGAGTAGAAGGGGCTAGTTTAGCAATTAGCAGGTAGAAGGGGCTAGCTTAGCAATTACCACAGCCATAAAATCAAGGTCCTCAGGCACCAAAGCCTGGATGCCAGGATGTCAGCAGGAGGTTCCAGCAGATAACAATCTGTTTTGGGTCTGAAGCTCAGACCCAAAAGGTGAAAGATAAAGACAGGGCGATGAAGCTCATCAGGGAATTTCCGGTCCTTTCAGATTCTATTCAAGTCAACAAACCTAGGCTTACAAGGAGTGAGCCCCTCCCAAAGAGAAGCTGTCTGTGAGTGCAGTCTCTGCACCAGCATGGGCAGCAGTCTTCTGCCCATCTGTGACTATGCAGGTGCTTCTTTCCACCCACTCTCTTCCTCTGCAAGGCAGCAGCCTCCTGCCTGCCCTGACCTGTACCATGCCGGGACTTCTCCCTCAGTGGATGCTGCTCTCCTAAGTCCACATGCCTGCAACCATGCAGGCCTCTCACTCTGCAAACCTGTCCCTTCCGGGGCAGCTCTTCCTGTCGGCTTGTGCCTATGCAAGTGTCTTTTCCTCTCCTGTCTCTTTCTAATAAACTTCCTCTTTAACTATAACTGAGACTCTGTCTCATGTAGAATCTTGCTGTGTGCCACTGAGAGGGGAGTTCTGGTGAAGCCTTTCCCAAAGTGAACCCAAGGACCCTGAACTCTAAAAAATGACATCATATCCACTTCCTGATTGCCTTGAATGAAGCCAATACCTTTGTTGGTATTTGGGGAGCCTAGGACCCAGGGGTAACCCTCCTGTGAAGGGCATTTCACCTGAAAGAGGGCATTTCACCTGAAAGCAGAAAGCAAGCAGAAACAGAACGAGGCACAAGCCCAAGAAACTGCTACACGAACTCATTTAATATGCAAAACAGCTCCAAGAAAGATAGACTATTACCATTCCTGTTTTACAAATGAGGCCAGGGAGGCAAAAATAGCACATTTAAGGCCACAACAGCTAGTAGTGGCATCAGCAGGGATGGGGAGTGGGGGGTGGGAGGAGGTTGGTGATTCTAAATTAGTTTTCAAAGTAAACCCAATCCAGAGCTCCAGACACACATCCAGCCAAGTGTGACTTTGCTGATTAAAGCAGCAGATGTGTCCACCCACCAATTACTTGGCTGTTACTTTTAAAAACAAGCCTCCAAATCCCAATCTGCTGATTAGAAAAGAATGCCACAGGGCTAACTGAGAAACGCAAGAGTTGAGTACAGGGAAGGGGATTCAGCAGGAAAGGAGAAACAAACACTCTCTCATATGCGGTTTTTCACCCAAAGAGGCTGAGAAGACAATAAAGGTAAGTGGAGTTCAAAAAAGTGCAGTTTGTGTAGGGTCACATCAACTTCCAGGGCCAGGCCCACCATGGCTTCAGAACAAGACTCAGTGCACGAGGAGGCAGAAAGAATTTAAAGGCCTCTCCAAAGGTCTCCGGCGACAAGAGTCCCAGGACCATGGACAGCGTCCAGGGCCACGTCTGCGCATGCTCACCTCCGCCATCTATCAGGTGGCGGAGGAGCAGGGTCCTCCGCTGGTCCCAGGCGCTGAGGTGGAGGATGAAGGAACAGAGGTCGAGGTCTGAGAAGTTGTAGTCTCGGATGAAGCCCTCTCCCAGCGGGGGCTCCCCGCTCACTTTGCGGGTCAGCAGCAGGAGCACTTCTGGCCACTTGTGCTTTTCCAGTAAAAACTTGATGCAGGCGTTGGCACAATCACCACTAATGTCACAGACCAGGTCAGGAGGAATTTCTTTCAAAAACAAGAATACACCAAACTTCAGGAAAAGGTTCATATGATTTGTCACCAACTACAACTCAACATGGTGGGTGCATAATTAATGCAGGTAACCAACTGGTATTTTTTTTTTTAAAGATTTATTTATTTATTCATACAGAACTGGGGTACAGGCCAGAGGCTCAGGGGCGGTGAGAGGCTTCACCAGAGACAGAGTGGGGAGCAGAACAGGCAGATCGACGAAGTACACTGCTGAGGGGAGCAGCGGGCGGGTCAGGAGAGGTCTGGCTCGCCATGTGGTCTCCTCCGGGGCAGGCGGCAGGCGGGAATCGAACTCATACGGAAGTGGCTTCAGATTCTCAGTGCTGTGCTTTAACCCGCTGCGCCCCCAGGGAGGGCCACCAACTGGTATTTTTAAGCACTGGGGAAACTGTAAGTAATTAATGACTTTGGGGGTGCTAATTAACCATTTGTGAATGGCAATATAAGTGCTCTCTGTGAGCTTCTGGGGAAGGTGAAAAATGCCCTGTGGAGAGCAAACAATGGTATTGTGCCTAAGGGAGAATACTGACTTGGCCATCAACCCAGCTTTAAATTGTGCAAAATATTAAGAGTGTGTTCTGTTCAAGGAATCTTGAAACACAGGGACATCCTAGAGAATAATTGGGAAGTTGAGAGTTGAAGGGTGATGCTGAAAGGATGGTTTAATCCCGGTTCTTTATTTTGTATCCCAATGTGTTTAAGTGCTTTCATCTGACTGGTAATGTCTGAAGACTGGATAACAGTTGTCCCAGTTCATCCTGCTGGTGTACCTTATGAGTGGAAGACTTTTTAAAAAGATTCTTAGTAATCCTATTACCAGTCAGAGCAACTAAAATTTTAAGACAACAGTTAAATTTGAATTTCAGTGAGCCAGGGATTAGCATATCTGGAACATACTTAAATTTAAATTTTTCCCCCTTGTTTATCTAAAATTCAAAGTCAAAGTCAACCAATATTCTATCTTTTGTCTGGTAACCCTACCAATAAAAATGCTGAGAGGAATGGAAGAAGGGGAGAAGTCAAGCATTACCTAAAGAGTAATTTGTTTCTTAACTTCTCTATGAGAAATCCCAGCCCTACAAATAGCCCCACTGAACCACACTAACCATTTGAAAAAGTACTAAATTTCACCTACTTAGATTTCTATAATCTTCCTTGATTACTAAAATACATCATCTAAGATCTTTCCAAGAAATTTCCTGATTTCCCTATAATGAAAACAAATAGTATTCCAGCTATAATAACTTTATATCAACTAAATGGTACAGAGAAGAAACATCTGTGATACTTTCCAAGTGACTGCATAAACAAAGCATAAGTCTAGGAGGACCTGTGAAAAAACCAGTTGCAGGGATTGCCTTCGCAGTAGGATTAGAAGCACAAGGATGGGACCCTCCCTGGTGCACAATGGATTAAAGCCCAGCACTATAAAGCTATCACAGCCACTTCAGCACGAGTTCGATCTCTGGCCAGGGGGGTGACCCACATGGCGCGACAGACCTCTCCTGACCTGTCTGCTGCTCCCCTCAGCAGTCTATTCCAGTCAGTTTGCCTGTTCTGCTCCCCACTCTGTCTCTGGTGAATCCTCTCACTCCCCCCGCCCCATACACACACCCCATACACACATCAGGGATGGATGATAGACATTTCACTGAAGAATATTTTGTGTTGTTTGAATGTTTTATGTGTAGATCATGACATTTCTCCTTTTATTAATTTTTAAAGAGTATTAGAAAAAAGTTTTACGTGCATATATCATCTCTAACACAACTGAGTGCTGAGAATAATTACCTTGCAGAAAAGAAAGGTGGCGTAAGAACCTCTGAACCACTTCTTGCTTCAGAAAGTTTTTATGCGAGAACCCATTTCCAGAGTTCATGTACTTCACCAGCTGCTCCAAGGTTCTCCGGAAAATGTTGCTTTCATTTGCGGGTCCCTCACCATTGCTTAGTCCTGAAAAAAAAAGCACCAGGCATATAGAGATCACTGCTGAGGCAAACTGTAAAACTGATAAGTCTTTGTCCTCAGTGCTTCTGCCATGTGACTTTGCAGCTCCTCCCATTGAGAGCTAAATCTGACACCCCCCTCCCCCATCCTTGATTCTGGCCTCGATTCTGGGTGCAAATAAACAGAATGCAGTGGGGTCTGGTACCCAGTTCCAGGCTTGGGCCTCAAGAGGCCTCGTGTAGCATTAGCTAGGCTCCAAGGGCCCTGGCCTGCCGTGGGAGCAGGTCCAGACTAAGGGACAGCGGCGAACAAAAGAGTGAGTCAGTCCAGTTGTCCAAACAGAGCCCCATAGCTGTGAAAGGGCACGGCCATAATCAGCAAGATTTGAAGACATTTGAAAGAGTTCAATTCATAGCACAAGAACAGCCCAGCCCAAATCGTTGACCTGTAGGATCATGAGCTAAACAAATGCTCATTGCTTGAAGCCACTGGGGGTGGAGGCAGTTTGTCTGGCAGCAGCAGATACTGATAGAGCAGTTTAGGGAAGTGATGGTGGGAAGATAGCTGAGGAGCACAGTGACACCCAACTTCCCAAACCTTCTGTCCCAGTGCCCAGCCAAGAGGAGGGAGGCATCTCTCTGGCTAGTGAAGGGAGGACAGTGCCCTTTGGTTCAATTTATTTGAGAAACTTAGCCATATAGAAAACACCCACTGATGGAAAGTTCTAAAGGGCAGAGTTTTTATTTGGGGTCTGGTTATAAACTCAGAAGCGCTCTTGGTTAAAATGCAATCTCATTGGGGGTGGGGGGGCGGGTAGCAAAACCTGAGCCTTTGCTTTCTCACCCAATGAGTGGGAGGGGCCTGGCCCATAACATCAGTGATGCCTATTCTACTCCTGACTCTGTCTCTGGTGAATCCTTTCACCCTACCCTCCTCACCCCCTGCATCGCTGGCTTATGTCCTGGCTCTTCTATGTATAAATAAATAAATCTTTAAAAAGAAAGAAAAGTATCATGGGCATTGTGTAAGTCAGTACCCCATATGGGCAGACTGAAAGCAGGGTGCCGACTGGTGCTGAAAGGTGCTGCTCCCAAGCTGCTTCCTGGTCTTGGACTGGTTGAAACAGATGTGGTGAGAGACCCATGGGCAGGTTGACTATGGCAGCTTTTATCTTGATTTTGATTTTGCTCTTTTCTTTTCAGACTTGTCTGGCTCCTTCTGCCCCTTTCCTATGAGTCCCTGTCAGTGGTGCCTTGCACTTGTCCCAGGCTTTCAGGCCCCTGTGCACGGCTTTGGGCCAACCCCGTTTGTCCAACGAGGGTGTTACCGAATGACAGTCTCAGTTTCCCTCAGCCAATAAAAGGAAACAGAGTTTGAGGAAAAGGAAGGTGGTTTTATTTGCCGACAAATGAGGAGGGCAGCAGACGCATGTCGGAAAGACCAGACCACCGTCCTGCGCTTTGGCAAGTTACAGGGCCGTTTGTACAATGTTCGACAAAGAAAAAGGGGAGGTGGGCGAGGGTCCGCGAAGGAGAGGAGTAAAAGTGAGTGCTGGGATGGAGACCAGTGGGCACCAGCCTTTATTTACACAAAGACAAACGAAAATGGGGAATCAGCAAGAGTAATGGGGAGGGGCAGGGGGCAGCACAGGGAGCAAGAGGAGTCGGTGCAGCGAGCTTTCTCACTATTTGCTTTTGTTTGGGTTTTCTTTCCTTGACCCTAAACCTGTCAAGACAAGAGAAACTGCAAGGAGAGGAGAGAGAGAAAAAAGTAAACCCACAGTCAATTAAGAGCTCTGGGTAAGCCAATTCCGTCATAAATTTGTCAAAGGAGGCAAATCTGCAAACGCTTATCTGAGAGCCCATTCGCTGTATCAAGGGGATGGGTAACTTCGGGTGTCTGAATCTTTGTCTTCTCTTTATTGCACACTGATTGTATTAAAGTTCCTTTCCATTAAAGGTCTTATGCACTCTACAGTATGCTTTGTCTTGATGTGGCAGATCTATTTAGCAAAATCTATTTAGAGCAGGCAGGTTTTGGGGGTTCGGGGTGCCCTCTCTTCCTGCCCTGGTCCTCTCCCAGGACCAGAGAACAAAGGGCTCAGAGTCATGGATTTATTCTTACTCTAAACGGCCATGGCCATGGCCACACATGTATCCAACAAAAGAATCACAAACAACCCGAGAAAAATCTAACAGCTGCTCAAGACGGGAGAGGTGCTGCCATCTGGTGGCGGCCATGAGGGGGGACAGTAGAGACAGTGACAGGATCCCACCGGGAGTAAAGTCTTCCTGCTCAAAGTGGTCTCTGGCACCAAAGTGGTCTCTGGCACCGTGGCGACTGGTGAGAAACTATCACAAAGCCGCTAAATCAAGGCACATTTCCGCGCACTCCCACAGAACCGTGTGCATGCTAATGTCAGGGAAACTGGTTTAGAGACCAGCAGAAATCTCCAGCAAGATCCTTTATTTCCCAGACTTTGCTTCTCCTTAGATGCAAATGCCACTTATCCAAAGATGCCGACCTTCATTCCCAGTATCTTGTGTCCTCTCTTTGCTTTGCTTTTCCCTCCCACTGTCTTCTGAAGCACTACTTTGGATGAGGAGAACATCCTGGAGCTAAGTTTGAAAAAGAAACACTATTCACTAGTGGGCAATAACTTAATGACAAAAGTTTAAATCAATTACATAAAATCTTTAAATTTCAGTTTTTCAAATGCCTGAGCAACAGGCATTTCAAGTGCTCATAATCACATGTACCTAAAAGCTAGCCTATCAGGAAAAAGTAAATATAGGACATTTCCATCGTTGTAGAAAATTGTACTGCATGGTACTGGTCTTGTAAGATTCCCCATCCCCATCTCATGTATTAAAGTTTGTAAATGCAAAATCTCTGGAGGAAATATATGCACACAACTCTCTCAGCCATGTGGGAGTGCAAAGGAACACTACTGTATCATATATGACCCTGTGTAGAGACCTTAATCACAGATTGGCACTCAAGGGTTCCACTGCTAGAAGTACTTCAAGAAGTTCTTTATGTAAAGACTCCAACTTGGGGGCCTCCCTGGTGGCCTAGAGGTTAAATCTCTGCACTGTCACCCCTACCAGCTCAGTTCAATTCCCAGCCAGGGAGGTGACCCACATGGTGCAGCAGACCTCTCCTGACCCACCCACTGCTCCCCTCAGCAGTGTACTTCATCGATTTGCTTGTTCTGCTCCCCACTCTGTCTCTGGTGAGGCTACCACCCCCTCTCACTACAAACCGCCCCCCACAACATGGCCCAGTTCGTCTATGCATAAATAAATAAAGATTTTAAAAAGATTTTAAAATTTATTTATGCATACAGAACTAAGGTATAGGCCAGAGGTACAGGGGTGGTGAAAAGCTTCACCAGAGACAGTGGGAAGCAGAACAGGCAGATTGACGAAGTACACTGCTGAGGGGAGCAGTGGGTGAGACAGGAGAGGTCTGCCGCACTGTGTGGATCACCTCCAGTGCCAGGATCGAACTCTTGCTGAAGTGGCTGCAGGTAGCTTGCAGTGCTGTGTCCTAATCCATTGTGCCACCAGGGAGGGCCCCAACAAATAAAAATGTTATTCGCCAGCCTGATAACTACCATCTTCCTCTTTTTCAGTTTGTATCCATTTCTTTTGCTTTTTTGAATTCCATGTTTCCTAACAGTCTATCAATATTCCTCTAGTGTGACAAGGAAATCTCATAGTCAGTGGTCTGGAAAACCTGAAGATAATCAAATATCCAAGAAGTTTCCCATTGAGTGTCGTGGGGGTTCGGCTTCACTGCACCTGCTGCCACCACAAACTACCATTAGCCCAGTGGCAGGCCTGGAACAGGCAGGTCCTTCCAGTACACAATTTTCTGCCCAGTAAATTCTAAAAAATAGAAAGGGGAGAAGCTCTAATTCTACTAAATCTCTTTCTTTGGTTCCAAACCTGGATCATAGATTTAGTTGGTGAAGGAGGAGAAAGATGGGAAAGTAAGACTCTTTCTCTAAAGTTAAGGACTAGATTTTAGGACTAGAACATATTCTACAATTTTATTATGCTAGGAAACTGAAAACAATCAAAACTTTAAAACTAGTTGAACAACCTAGAAGAAATAATAAAGTCTTAGTTATCATACAACTTCCCAAGAGAGAATCAGGAAGAAATAGAAAATTTAAACAGACTGATCACTAGTAAGGAAACTGAAGCATTAATCAAAAGCCTCCCCAAAACAAGCATTAAAATGAACAAACAACATAATGAGTAGGAGAAAATATTTGCAAATCATTTGCCACTAATTTACATATGCATAATATATGGCATACATACTATAAAAGAATTCATACAACTCAACATTAACCAAAAACAACACAATTTAAAAAATGGGCCGAAGATCTGAACAGACACTTCCCCAAATGAGACACACAGATGGTCCTGCCCACCCCCAACACATGGAAAAATACTCAGCAGCTCTTACTATCAGGGACACGTAAAGCAAAATAACAATGAGATATCACCTCGCATCTGTACAGATGGCTACTGTTAAAAATACAAGATACTGGGCCCTCCCTGGTGGCGCAGCGGGTTGGAGCACAGCACTGAGAATCTAAAGCCGTTTCCGCATGAGTTCGATTCCCACCTGCCCCAGAGGTGACCACATGGCGTGGCAGACCTCTCCTGGCCTGCCCGCTGCTCCCCTCAGCAGTG